ATAAGCTCCTTGGAAGTGAATTTGAGATGAAGGAACTGGGTGAGTTACAATACTTTCTTGGCATTGTGGTTGCTAGATCTAAACATGGCATATTTCTATCCCAAAGAAAGTATGTGTTAGATTTGTTGACAGAAACAGGAATGCTGGATTGCAAGTCAGCTGACACACCTATTGAACAGAATCACAAATTGGGAATGTATCCAGATCGAGCTCCTACTGATAAAGAAAGGTATCAAAGGTTAGTTGGGCGATTGATTTATCTATCCCACACACGCCCTGACATAGCTTATGCTGTGAGTATGGTAAGCCAATTCATGCATCAACCAAGTGAAGCTCACATGAATGGAGTAATACGGATAATGCGATACTTGAAGACTGCCCCTGGAAAAGGATTGATGTTCTCCAAACATACACACATGGATCTTGAAGGATACACTGATGCTGATTGGGCAGGGTGTATCACGGATAGACGTTCAACTTCTGGATATTTTACATTTGTGGGTGGCAACTTAGTTACTTGGAGGAGTAAGAAACAAAGAGTTGTAGCAAGATCCAGTGCTGAAGCTGAGTTTAGAGGAATGGCTCAAGGAGTATGTGAATTGCTTTGGTTGCGGAGATTACTAAAGAATCTTGGCATTAAACAAGTGAATGCCACAAACCTATATTGTGACAATAAAGCTGCCATCGAGATAGCACATAATCCAGTACAACACGACCGTACTAAACATGTGGAAGTCGATCGACACTTCATCAAAGAAAAACTGGAAAAAAAGATGATTAAGTTTCCGTTCGTAAACTCAGAAAATCAACTGGCTGATATTCTGACAAAGGCAGTGTCAAGTAGAGTTTTCAATGAGTCTATTGACAAGTTGGGCATGCGTGACATCTTTGCACCAACTTGAGGGGGAGTGTTAATGATGTAGTCAATTAACATGTGTTAATTATGTAGTCAATTAATGTTTGGCACCTACTATGTTTGGCACCTACAATATTTGGGGGGCTTAACTAGGTTGGTTGCCTAACTTGGTGGGCTTAGGAACTTGTATATATATGTGTTGATTGTAAGTAATGAAAGACATAAGAAAGAATTCTAAACCAGAAAATCTTTACACAAATCTCTACACTTTGTTTGGCACGTGGTCCCAAGATCAAATTATACGAAACCGTCGGCGACTTTCAATTTGCATGAAATAGTATTATTATGAGTAAGTGAATGGATCATTAAAAAAAAAAAACAGCATAACTTCAAACAAAATACGTTCTGACATCGAAATATTTATCATAGATAGCCTATTAGTTACTTTGCAACCTCAGGTGTATAAATAAAGACCAAAAATAAAGGATAATTGTTCATTAAATGAAAAGTAGACCAGTTTTAGCATTTGTAATGCATTAAAACAATGTAAACAGAGCACAAAAGTACAAATTGAAGTAAAAGGCACTAGTATCTAACCTCTAAATAGAAACGTCCATTTGGAAGTGGTTCACAACTACATAAATAATAATTTTTTTTCTTTAAAAGGAGGAAGCATGGTAGTGGAGTTTACAAAGGACATTCTGCATACTAGAAAATTAAGAAGGAAAGAAGGAGGATGAAAGACCTACTCAGTAATTTCCACTTCACAAGCAAAATCAGCCATTGAACCTGTTGAAGAATCAGTGATAACCTACAAAAT